TGTTTGTTCTCATCACACTTATTCAGCATAGCACTGGAATTCCAGCCAGCACAGTAAGGACAAAAGAAAGAAAAGTAAAAGGTATACAAGTTTAGAAAGGCAGAAATAAAATTGTCCCTATTTGAAGATGGCTTGTGGAAAGTGAAATTAAACACAATATAATTTAAATTTTTTCCAAAGAAAATGAAATACTTAGACACAAATCTAACAATATATATATAAGATCTGCATCCCAAAGATTACAAAATCTTGATTAAAAAAATCAAAGAAGACCTAAATAATTGGAGAGACTTACCTTTTCACGGATTAGAAGACTGGATATGGTAAAAATGTCAAGTAGTCCCAGATTACTCCATAAGATTAATGCAATTCCTATCAAAATCCCAACAACGATTTTTCTAGACATAAATATGTTTATTCTATATTTTATATGAAAAGGCAAAGGATATAGAACAGCTAAAACAACCGTCTAAAAGAATAAAGTGGGAAGGAATCATTCTACGCACTGTTAAGGTTTAATATATAGCTTCAATAATCAAGACAGTGTGGGGCTGGCAAAGAGTAGATACATAGATCAATAGGAGCAGAACAGAGAGCCCAGAAACAGACTCATCCAAATATGCCCCAGGATTTTTGACAAAGGTGCAAAAGCAATTAAACGGGAAAAGGATAGCCTTTCAACAAACGGTGCTAGGGCAACTGGACCTCCATAGGCGAAAGAATGAACCTCAACCAAACCTTCCACCTCATGCAAAAATTAACTCTAAATGCATCACAAACTTCAACGTAAAATATAATCCACAAAGTTTGGAAGGAGAAAAGAGATCTAGGGCCAGTCAAAGAGTTCTTAGACACGAACCCAAAAGCAGGATCCATGAAAAGAAAAACTGATAAACTGGACCTCATGAAAATTAAAACTTCTCACCTGCGAATGACCCTATTAAGATGCGAAAAGACAAAAACAGATTGGGAAAAATATTTGTACACCATAAAGCCAACAAAAGACTGGTATCTAGAAAATATAAAGAATGCTCAAAGCTCAACAGGAAAAAAACTATCCAAATCAAAAATAGGTCCAAGACATGAACAGATACTTCACTGCAAGGGGCACATGGATGGCAGATAAGAACAGGAGAAGAGGCGCAATGTCATAGCCACTAGGGGAATGCAAATTAAAGCACAACAACGTATCACTATGAACCTGTCGGAAGGGATAAAATTAAAAATAGTGATAATATCAACGGAACATATATAAATGGTACAGCTATACTAGAAAGCAGTTTGGCAGATTCTTCTAAAACTAAAAACGTACTTACCATACAACCCAGCATTTATCCCACAGAAATGAAAAACCTACGATTACATAAAACCTGTAAATAAATGTTAATAGCAGCTTTATTTATAATAGCTAAAAACTGGGAATAATGCAAATGTCCATCAGCGGTGAAAAGCTAAACTGAAATATCCCTACGATGAATGAATAAAGAGAGTGAAAGACTTGATATTCTAAAGATGTCACTTCTCTTCAAAATTCATCTATCGATCCAATGCAATTTTAATCAAAATTCCAGCAGGCGTTTTTTTTTTTTTTGTAGGAATTGAGAAGTTGATTAGAAAATTTATTTGGGGAAAAAAAAAGATGACATGGAAAGATAGCTAAGATATTTGGAAGAGGAAATAGCAAGATGCAAAACAGTATGTAAAGGATGAAAGTAAATAAAAATATATGTATATAAAAAGAATAAAATAAATAAAATTTACTTGGAAATACAAATGACTTAAAATAGTCAAAGCTATTTTTCTCTTTTTTGGTGAGGAAGATTGGGCCTGAGCTAACATCTGTTGCCAATCTTCCTCTATTTGCTTGAGGAAGATTGTCCCTGAGCTAACACCTGTGCCAATCTTCCTCTGTTTTGTATGTGGGACACTGCCACAGCATGGTTTGATGAGAGGTGTGTAGGTCCACAACCAGAATCCAAATCTGAGAACCCTAGGCCACTGTAGTAGAGCACTCAAACTTCCCCACTACTCCACCAGGCCAGCCACTCAAAGCAATTTTGAGAAAGAAAAATCTGTAGGATTGACCACCTGGTTTTCAGACTTACTGTTAAGCTACACTAAACAAGATAGTGTGGCTTGTGGGATAGTGTGGATCTATACATCTCAATGATATGTAGATATATAAATCAATAGATCAATGGGAAGAAAATGTAAAATCCAAAAACAGGCCTACACATTTATGATCAAGCGATTTTAGACAAAGATGCCAAGGCAACTCAATGGAAAAAGAAAAGTTCTTTCAACAAATGTTGCAGGAACAAGTGAATATTTATATTTTAAAAACCATCAACTCTTGGGGCTGGCCCCGTGGCCGAGTGGTTAAGTCTGTGCGCTCCGCTGCAAGTGGCCCAGTGTTTCATTGGTTCGAATCCTGGGCACGGACATGGCACTGCTCATCAAACCACGCTGAGGCAGCGTCCCGCATGCGACAACTAGAAGGACCCACAACGAAGAATATACAACTATGTACTGGGGGGCTTTGGGGAGAAAAAGGAAACAATAAAATCTTAAAAAAACAAAACAACAAAAAAACATCAACTCTTACATTGTACTAGACATAAAAATTAACTTGAAGTGGATCATTGGCTGAAATGTGCAAGCTAAAAATTATAAAACTTCTAAAAGTAAACACGGAAGAAAGTCTTCACAACTTCTCCCAGGCCAAGTTCGATAGGACACAAAGTATGAAACATAAAACAAAGACCTGGTCAACTGCACTTTAGGAAAATTAAAAATTTCTGCTTTTCAAAATCTCCACTAAGAAAACAAAAAGGCCAGCCACAAAACAGAAGAAAATATTCTCAGTACATGTCTGGCAAAGGAATTATATCCAGAATATTATAAAGAACTACAACTCAATAATAAGAAAACAAAGCAATTTAGAAATAAGAAAATATTTGAACCGAGACTTTATAAAAAAAGATATACAAATGTCCAATAAGCAGTTGAGAAGATGCTTTGCCTCACTAGTCATCAGGAAAATGCAAATTAAAAGCACAGTGAGATACCACTACATACCCGTTAGAATGGTTAAAATGAAAACAACCAACAATACTAAGCATTGACCAGGATGCGGAGTAACTACTACACTCACACATGATAGGTAGGAATGTAAAATGGTACCATCACTTTTGAAATCTGTTTGGCATTTTCTTAAAAAGCCAGACATATGCTTATCATCCAACACAGCCACTCCAAGAGAAATGAAAATGTATGTCCACACAAAAACTTGTAAACGCATGTCCACAGTAGCTTTATTCAAAATAACCAAAAACTAGAAATAACCCAAATGTCCATCAACTACACATTGTAGCATATCCATACAATGGAATACTGATACATGCAACACCCTGGAAGAATTCTCAAATCATTACATTGAGTGATTAGATGACAGACACAAACGAGCACGATGACCTACAAAAACAGAAACCAGTTTAAGAGGCAAAGCATTAATTTGGGATCAGATAATTGCAATTTGGGGACCACAAATTTAGGTGGAAACTCATATAGGGTCCCACTAGGGAGTAAAGTCAGGGGCTTTTAAAGGCAAAGAAAGGAGGTTGTATTTCAAAGAATTTTAATTGTGTTGGAGGCAGAGGTCTGGTCTTGGCTAAACATTGATTGACTATTGATTTCTATCTTAAGAAAGTCCACAATCCTGTCTTTCTGATCAGGATGTCTATTCCCCTGCTGACTTCTCAAACAATTACTTGAAAAAACATTGCCATTTTGGCCCAGTCCAAAGGTTTGGCCCAGAACAAGGTTCAAGACAGCAAAGCAGTTTCTCTGAAAAGGCAGCTCTGAGCCCATTTTCAAATGGCTCCACTAAAGTCAATTTTGACAAGCACATATTGTATGATTCCATTTATACAAAATTTTAGAAAATGCAAAGAAATCCACAGTGATATAAAACTGATCAGTTGATTGCCTAGGGCCAGGTGTGAAGGGAAGAATAAACTGTAAATTTTCTGTATCTTTTTTTTTAAAGATTTTTTAGTTTTTCCTTTTTCTCCCCAAAGCCCCCCGTACATAGCTGTATATTCTTAGTTGTGGGTCCTTCTAGTTGTGGCATGTGGGACGCCACCTCAGCGTGGTTTGATGAGCGGTACCATGTCCACGCCCAGGACTCGAATCAACGAAACACTGGGCCGCTTGCAGCGGAGCACGCGAACTTAACCACTCGACCCCACTTTTCTGTATCTTGATTGAGGAAGTGGTTTGTAGAGTATATGACGCCTCTGTCAATACGCTCAAATTGTAGGCTTTATGTGGATGCAGTGTATTTTTTATAAATTATACTTCAATAAAGCCACTTTTTGACGCTCCTTTATACGACACTACTTTGATAGAGACTGAAGATAGAAATAAATGTCATGGTCATTACCTTCAGGGAGCTCATAATCACTGCCCTGAACATCACTCTTTTTCATGCTTAGAGACTGGTGGATTTGCACTGACCCTTTTGCTTTCATTTTGTCCTGTTTGTGTTACTTATATTTGTAACATGGGATAAAGTTTAATCTGTGGCAGACACAATCTGAAACTCTAATCTCTTTCCTCTAAACCAGAGTTTACAACCATCTAAACTTCCTGACAGAATAAGACATTTAAATAAAATCGCTGATTAAGCCCAGGCACGAGGAACAAAGAACAACATTCAGTTGCAGTCCAAAGTTACATGAAGTTGAAACATCTAACAAAGCAACCAGATACTTTTTCTGTAGATGAAGTTAGGCAGGAAAGACTTCACTCCCGCAACGTTCAAATAGATTTTATCCTAAGAGTAGTTTAAATGGACATTTTAAATTATCATATATTGGTGTGATATCGTAATCTCACACAAAGAAGATTACCCACATGAAGATAACCAGTTTTAATACACTTCTCACTCTGCAATATTTTAACCACTTTATTTTTAAAATCAAATATGCAAAACTTACCGAAGAAATGATTTAATATTTTCAGCTTTCATCTCGGATACCAGTTTCCACCGTATACTCTGATGATAGCGCAGTGAAGTGGCTGTTTCTTTGATTGGTTTAATGAACCAGCCTGGGGGAAGAATACATACACGGATGCACACCACATACACACATAATTGCTTTTTACTTTTACAAAAACTAGAAGCCAAAAAATAGCCCTTCCCTAAGAAATAGATCATGACGATATTTACAAAAATATTCACATTAAATGCAGAAAACCTTCAAATTCTGCTGTGTAATATAATTTTGAGTTGGTTAAAACGAGTTTTATATGAGGGATGTTAGGCATCAAGGCATGGATCTCTGTCTTTCTTGTGCTGGGGTGGCGGGAGGTATCTGGTTCTTGGCACAGTGCCTGACACACAGGAGCATTCCACAAATACTAATTTAATAAATGATGAGGGAAAGGCAGTTTCTGCAGTGCTGCCCATATTAGTGGCAAGTTTTGACTCATTAATGGTGCTTGGAAATGAAATTATCTTTTTCATCCCTTCGGATACTGACAATTCTAAATTGTCTTTCCACGGCCCATAACATTACCCTAAACTCAGTGAGTATTTAATAAATCTGAATTTCAGACACACTTTATCAGAAAGGCTAAAATGCATTCCATTCGGTTTCCAGTTTTGCCGAAATTCCGGAGTTCGCCAGGCCGAGGGGGCTCAGCTGGCCAGGCGAGCCCACACCCAGCCCAAGCACCGCAGCTCCGCGCTTTCCCCGCGCTTTCCCCGCTGAGGGGCGGCTGCAGGGAGGAACACCAGCAACGGGCTGGGGGAAGGGGTTCGTGCACTTACCCACCATGAATCCCGCCAGGAAAGATGCCAGCGCTGCAGCCAAGCACATCCAAAGGTAGAGGCGGCCCCTGGACTTCGCCATGGCTTCCTGGGCACTGACCTTAGGGCGCCGGCTGCAGTGGGAAGCCTCCGGGCTGCGGAAGAACAGAGAGCGCGCCCGGAGTGCAGTGAGCGCTCCGGCGGCCCGGGAGCCTGTGTCAGCCGCAGACCGTCTGCAAAGCCCCGCCTCTGCGCTCCAGGTCGGTCCAGACGCAGCGCCAAACCACTCCTGGCTGCTTAGGTCCCCTGGGGACCTCTAGGGGACAGAGGAAGAGAGGAAGCCCTGCAAGGGGAGGAGACATATTCTTCCTATGGGCAGGCAACTTCCATTCTGTTGATCCTGCAGTAATGCGGACAAAGTGTGTGTGGGGAGCTCCTGAAAATGTCCCTAATTGTTTCCTAAAGTTGTTCTGACCCGCTTCTTTGCCACGCTCACCCAGAAAATGCTGAATTTCGACTGTGAAGTGCGTTAAAGTTCTGCGTTTTCTTCCTTGTTGATTACCCTGCTGCCAAATTCTCTGTCCTCATTTCTAACTGCTCTTGCTTGGGAAGCATTTCTAGTCCTGGCTGCTGGACCAAAACACATTAGTTCTGACAAATAAAAATGGCAAGTAATAGGCTATATTGGGGTATATGAGGAAGCCATTTGGTGTAAACCTAATTCGGCCTGACCTTGTCTTTCCAAAAGGGCCTGACCAAGGCCCTTGAGCATGCGTTGTATATCTGCTTTAGAGATTCCCTATGGCATGAGCAAAAGGCCCTTGAGATAAAGGTGCAACTTCCCTCCCCCTCCCAACGTTGGCATTTCTTTAAGGATTAAGCATCTTTCCTTAGGCTAGAAACTGATTGCTGCACTCACCTGTGACCACCCAGCTCAAGACAATAGACTTGCCTCCTGCTACGCCCTCCTGAGATAGCAGACCCACTACCTGCTGTGTCCATCAAGTGCTGTGCCGACAGGGCAGTCTTGTGACTATTGTGGGAGGGAGATTTCAATCATATGTGAAACATCCTGTTTGGGGGTATGTAACCACTCTGTATACCTCACTTCTTTGGTGCCCTTTCTTCCTTCGGGAAGAAAGGCCCCAGGCCATGGTCCTCAGATTTCAGCTCAGAATAAACTCTCCCAAATTTTCATTTATGGATTGGTTATGGATTATTTTCGTCGACAATTCCTTAACCACGTTTCAACATCAACACTGATGAGACTGAACTCTTTTGTTTCCCCTTAACTGAACAAGTCTCCACATTTCTGGAATTCTCATTTCTTCTTCTGTAACTGGGGTTTTTCCCTGCCTCACTAGTGTGGTATAGGTTCAAATTGTTAAAATTCATTATAGTGGAACCATTTTAAAATTGAGTAGGAGCTGCCTTTCCAGACAAACTGCTTTACTGTCTTGAATCTCAATCTGGGCCAAAACGACAATTGTTTTATGAGCAATTGTTTGAAAAGTCAGCAAGAGCACAGACATCCTGATCACAAAGACTGAGGATTGTGGCCTTTCAAAGAAAGAATCAATAGTCAATCAATGTTTAGCCAAGGCTCGCTCTCTGCCTCCAACTCCAATTAAAATTCTTTGTAATGCAACCTCCCTTCTTTGCCTTTAACAGCCCCTGACTTTTACTCCCTAGGGGGACACGATTTGTGTTTCTACCTGAATCTGTGGTCCCTGAATTGCAATTCTTTGTCCCCAAATAAATGCTTTGCCTCTTCAACTGGTTTCTGTTTTTGCAGGTTGACAAAATTAATAAGATTAACCATTGAAAGTGCCTTTTACTGTAACTGATGGTAGATTCTCGGCAATGTCACGCTGCCTGTCCTCCTCCTCTTATGACATTTATAGAGCATTTCTCTTTAAAAGTATTTAGAAGGTTTGCAAATGGTGGTCCTTGTAGATAGGACTCCTGCATCCGTCCATTTAACCCTGGAAGAGATCTTTAGCAATACCTGATTAGATTCCTCATATCCAACCAAAAGCAGTTTTGCAGCCAAAGCAAAGTTGCCTCCGAAGTGGACTATGGAGGGGCCAGTCTGGCTGTGGTTATACTGCCAGTCTTCGCTGCATTGTCTGAGGCCCTGAGGATCTTAGTTAAGGCATTTTTCTTTGCTCCTAACAAGTTCCCAGAGAGTCCAGTTTCTTTTTCTTGCGCTGTAGTTGTTGATGGGTGTATCTGATAGTTTATCCCTTGGAACCTTTGTAGAATCCCTGATAGTTAACTTTGAACCAAATATCTTTAGTGGTATAATGAATTTCAAAATATTTGTGTGTTGTTAAAGCCCAAACTAACTCCAGCTCTATTGGCTACTAGGCCTTTTGTCATTCCTCAACTGATGCCTCCAGCATTTTCTATTTTATAGAAGACCACCTTTAAAAAAGATATTATCATTAAATAAGCAACCCCCCTCCCCACACAGCAGCATGTGCAGCAGGTTAGAATGAAGTTATTCAAACAGAAGCAATAGCCAATGACGTAGCTCTACTCCTCATAGTTTAAGAAACACTTCCCTCACACATCCTGGATTATTTTTATATGTTTTATTACTAAATAATATTGGAATTTTAATAAATATCCAATTTCTACTTTAACGGTTGGGTAACAAGGGTCTCCTCTATGCCACAAATGATATAAAATATTATTTGTGTCAGCATACACAAAGATGTGTTACACACATATCTTTTGAGGATTGATTATATAATTTATTAATTCCTAGACCCTTGGCTTTTTCTATCTGCTACCCATGGGACCACGCGCTATTAACTATATCTCTTTCAAAAGGCAGATCAAAATCATGTCTAGAAAAAGGTTTGTTGGAGAAAGGGAAGGTAGAAACGAATGATTAAAATGACTAGCCTATTTGTGAAATTTGTTCTTTTCTTACTCCTATCTCAATTTGTATAGCTAGTTAAAGTTTGACTAATAGAAGAAATCAGTGCAGTAATTAGCAGTTTCCCAACTTGATTAGTCTTCCCAAGTTAAAATTAGATGATTCATTCAATCAATATTTATTGAGAGGCTATAGCATGCCAGCCATTGTGAAAAGTTCTGAGGATCTGATCTTTGCCTTTAGGAAGCCTCCAGAACAATGAGAAGGCAAATATTGAATATGTAATTAGGTGTAAAGCATTCTAAGAAGGAGCAGTATTACCTTAAACGTGAATGTTGTCGCTGCCTCAATAGGTGGCATCTGCAAACTTTGTCTTGCCAATCCATTGTAAAATGTCCAGTTAGCTGGTTCAACAAATCTTTGGCCTTTTGTTAATACAGATACAGATTCATTACTCCATCTTAATTAAGCTTATAACAGAAGGCTGCTATCACAGTTTCTAATTATTAGCATCTTAGAAGATATTCGCATCTTGCAAAGCATACTTAATAACGCAACATTGTTGATTTATGCCAACCACTTTCAACGTTTCCTTCAAAGCTAAAAAGTGTGTAAGAAACTCAGTATTGGAGAACCAATCTCTCAATAAAACTCTTTAACACATACAATCTGTTCATTATTCAGTCAGCCTCTGACAGGACAAAACGCACTTATCTTCTCCATTCGTAAAGGTAAATTGCTCTTATATAATCCTTTTTCCCCCTCTTCTCACATCCTAGAAGAGGCAATCTTGTACAAAGTTCAAATCCCATCAAGTGGGTCATAGCAAAGTTTGAAAAGAAAGTGTGACATATGTACTAATAAAGCAGCATATGTAAATTCCTTAATAAACATACCAATATTGAGGATTTAATAGAGAAGGAATAATGTTTAGCTGTCACAAATTTCATGTTTTGTTCTTTTCTTTTTTTTGAGGAAGATTAGCCCCGAGCTAACTACTGCCAATCCTCCTCTTTTTGCTGAGGAAGACCAGCCCTGAGCTAACATCCGTGCCCATCTTCCTCCACTTTATATGTGGGACGCCTACCACAGCATGGCTTTTTGCCAAGCAGTGCCATGTCCACACCCGGGATCCGAACTGGCAAACCCTGGGTGGCCGAGAAGTGGAACGTGCGAACCTAACCACTGCGCCACCGGGCTGGCCCCACAAATTTCATGTTTAGTTTGAAGATGTTGCCTTATCTTTCATACGAAAGGGATCACCTAGATGCTTGCTGTACAGATATAGATATGATGCCATTAATGATGTCACAAGGTGACATGATGGTCTGGCCATCCAGACAACAATGTTCACTTTCAAAATAGTGAAATTTTGATATCATATGGCTGAGATTCATGACAAGAAATACATTCCAGCTGAGTATTTCTAAAATCCTTGGCCCAAAAACTGCCAGAAATCAGTTTTAAACTTAAAATGAGATGTTACAATGTTAGTACATTGCACAATATACCATAACCTATAGAGCAGATGAGAAGTGAGACAGAAGAAGAAGTGTACATATGAGAAAAGGGTAAAAGACTAAGAAAAATGAGTGAGAAGAAATTTTCAAAGAAAAGCAGAAGACCATGATTGGATGTTTTCCTTCTGATGTCACAATTACTCTACTCAACAGCAAATGTAGAAATTAGAAAAGACTCACCAAGTTAAAGTGTAAAACAGAGAGATGACCCTCACCTATGCCCTCCTTTCAACACGGGATGTGTGTACCATGATGCTAACATTCCAGGTGGCACCTTGGCACAGGTAAGTTATATTATTTGCCTTTTAAACCAAATATTGCTGCTCAACATTTCTCATCCCGTATCATTAGCATATGCCTTCAGCTATTTCCCATGATAACTTTTACCTAATAGTGCTAGGATCAGGGGACCCCTCATGCTTTTCCTGCCAACATTCTCATCCTCTAGCCTCATTTACATTCTCAGTCCCTGTGTACCTTCAGTATCATTAGATGATGAATAAATCTCTCTACATTCTTGATCTCCCTTCTAAAAGCCCTTTCTATATTCCACCTTACCTGACATCTGTTTTCACTTGATGATACCACTTTCCCTAAAACCAGATAAATTTCCACTCATGGGGAAAAGGAAAAAAGTCCATGCGGACTTATGGGGTCAGAGAGGAAAGATGGATCTTTGCTCTGCCACCATTATTCCACTGTGTTTTCTCTTTTGAATTTGCTACCCTCGGATCATATCATTTACTTCCTATTCTCATTATTGTCCCCAGTGGAGCACCCAGATGTTCTCCCACCTTCAGCAGTGTTTTTAATGGCTGTTTTATAGATTTGGGGTGCACCTCTGGTCCTTTGTTCTTCGTTTTCTTTCGCACCTTGCATTCAATCCACCAGTAAGTTTTATGAGCTCTGCAATCAAAATGTATCTTGACTCCAGCTGCTACACCAGTATTCCTCTAATCTTAGCCACAGTCGTCTCTCTTCTAGACTTGTATGACAGCCCCGGAAGTGGTGTCTGCCTCCACTGATGCTCCTGTACAGACCATCTTTGACTCAGTAGAGTTTTCTTCCTAAAGTAGCAATCAGATCATGTTATTATTAATATCCTTCCAAGCTTTCTCATTAAACTTAAAAACAAAATTCAGACTCAAAGTGGCAACCAAACTCACTTGATCTAGCTTTTGAATGTTGCCTCCCTTCAAGGTAAGACAACAAGGAAACACATGCAAATCAAATGCACAGAGACCAGAAAACCACATCAGCAGAGATCACCAGCATCATAAAGAACCAGACAATCCCAAAGGGAGGCTGTGCTCCCCTAGTGACAGTGTAGTACGTCCATATGTCTACAGATGAAGGAGGTATTAGTAAATGGCAAATAGCCAAGGAAGTTCCTGGCCTTCTTCCAAAGTAGTGTCCAAAGCTCCCTAACAAGGTAAAACAGCAAGAAAGGGATATTCAATAATTTTATAATTAGGAGCAGTTATTGGAAAAACTAAATTTATTTCATGTTTTTACTCCAGTGAGCTAAGACTCCTTAATTAACCATAACTTTTTTTTTTTGAGGAAGATTAGCCTGAGCTAACATCACTGCCCATCTTCTTCTATTTTATGTGGGATGCCTGCCACAGCATGGCTTGACAAGTGGTGCGTAGGTCCGCACCTGGGATCCGAACTGGCGAACCCCAGGCTACCGAAGCAGAACGTGTGAACTTACCTGCTGCACCACCAGGCCAGCCTCAACCAGTAACACTTTTTGACCAGCTAGACTGACCAAGGACAATATAATTCATAAAGTCAATACAAATCCTATTCTGCAAGCCCTATTTATAATGAAGACTATTCCTATAATTCCCTAAACTGCATTGCCAGTAATTGGGAGTCAGAGCTTATTCTCTGTTCTCTCAGTGTCAGACCACCCTGAGAAACACTGCCAGACATTTGCCAGGCTTCTCGCTACTACCAGCTTTCATGCAGAATGCCTTCTTTTTCTTACACCCAGACAAGCAAAGCTATTAGTAAGTGAAAGAGGTTTTCAGATGATTGAGTGGTGAAGTTATTGAGGACTCTGGTTTGTACTTAGAAAGAGGCTGAAAAGATCCAAGGAAGAAGAGACAAAGGTAAGAGAACCATGGTGTGGTCCAAGGGGATGGGAAATCACTGGATCAGTGAATGCTCTGGCCTTCACACAGAACAAAATTTTAGCAACCTGTCTATCCTAATTCCTAAAACACGGGTCATGCTTCCACAACAAAACTAAATCTCTAACCAACATGGACGTTTTATTTACTCCTCTGTAAAGTCTCTTTTCCTAAATAAGAATGTTATTAGAATATTTCATAGAAGTTCCTTTAAGTTGGAACAAAATATCTGAGTGTAGCTTGCATACTGAAGAATAAAATGCCCTGGAACTAAATAAATAAATATAGCTGGACTTTAAATGTGTAAAAGAAAAATCCAAAAATGATTATAGCCATCTGTAGACATTGTCACAGGTTTTTCTTCACAAAGATTTTAAAAACACTTAACTCCAATCAACTCAGAAAGATGATTTGACCCCAGGACCATTATCCTGGTCATCCTTGTTGTCAGCTTTGTGAGGAAAAGGGGTGTGGTGAGCAGGCAAACTATAAAGCTGGCATCTTAATATCAAAACTCCGAGTTTTCTGTATTGCTTAGAGAAGAACGATTCTGTCCTTAGAATTTATTGGTCTTCAGAGACCTCTTCACCCCAGCGAGATACAGCCAAGGAGAAAGACTCTACCCTTAAGAACGATCAGCTTTCCTGAGTTTTATACCTTTTCTTATTTGATTAGTTTTGGCAAAACCAAATTTAAAATTGACCTATAAATATAGAATTTAGACAGGCAATTCCTGTTTACCTTCTACTTTAAAAATTGCTTTGGATGCTTGATCTGTAGGCATTGAAAGATGGCATCTTATCCAGGTAAAAGGGTGTTTTGCCTGTAATTAAAACAACTCCTTCAAATTAAAAATAAAATTATCAAATGATTCAGAAATGCCACTTCTGAGTTTTTTTTTTTTTTTTAAAGATTGGCACCTGAGCTAACAACTGTTGCCAATCTTCTTTTTCCTTTTCTTTTCTTTTCTTTTCTTTCTGCATTTTCTCCCCAAGTCCCCTCAGTACATAGTTGTATATTTTAGTTGTGGGTCCTTATAGTTGTGGCACGTGGGATGCCACCTCAACGTGGCCTGACCAGCGGTGCCACGTCTGCACCCAGGATCCAAACCCGCGAAACCCTGAGCTACCATAGCGGAGCACGCAAACTTAACCACTCGGCAATGAGGCCAGCCCCAGAGTTTTTATCTGAAGAAAATGAGAACACTAATTCAAAAAGATATGCACACTCATGGTCATTGCAGCATTATTTCCAATAGCCAAGACATGGAAATAACCTAAATATCACTCAGTGAATGAAGGCATAAAGAAAATGTGATATATAAATGCAACTCAAGATTCTGAGTTGACTCCATCTATTATAAAGGGCATTATTGGGATAACTGGCAAATCTTGAATGGGGTCTGAGTATTAAATGCAGTAATGCATTAATTTCCTGATTTTGATGGTTATATTGTGGTTATGTAGGCGAACACCCTTATTCGTAGTAAATACACACTAAAGTATTCAAAGGTGATGGGGCTTAGAAAAATAATTTACTCTTCAATAGTTCTGGAAAAACAAACGATCTTTGTACTATATTTGCAACTTTTTGTAAGTTTGTGAGACTTTCAAAATTCAATAAAATATTTTAAAGTAAAGCTTTTATTCTAACCACCTCCATAATTAGTATATCAGCTCTGACACAGGGTTATCACCAGTTTAGGATGTGCATATCATAGGACACAGAAGCAGATCAGAGTAGGAAGATAAACAAAGCAAAGAAAGGAAGAGAGCCTAAACCAGAATCCTAACAGAGATGGCTCAGAACACTGAGCCAAGGGCTTTTCAACCAACACCCTAATGGAGAGGGATTTATAGTTACTGGTACTTGTCCTATAGGAATATAGTTAAACAAACTGTTCAAAATTTGCTCAATAGTGAAGGTTCATTCTTCTCAACTTACTCCTTTTGTTGAATTTTTGAAGTCCTGTATTCAGAAGGTGTAAATTGCAGGGAGTCAGCGGTTCTTGCTCTTCTGGTGAGCAACACGTAGCATGCCTTCACAGAATGATCTCCGAGGAGGAAAAATTATTGTCAGGGGCTCAAGCCATTGAATTTGATGAGTTCCCGGTCAGCCTTATTCACAAAGCCTGTGTAGCAAACTCTAGATAGGAGTTTAAGTGCAGTGCGATTCCATTCATTTTGGAGAGAAAAAGCAATTCACTTCCAACTCAGTCTACTTTTAATCAATGAGAAAAGCACAATACACTCATATACGCACACTATATCTATTTAAGAAAACAAGAGTTATAAGACTCTGAAGTTACCCAAATCTGTCCAATTTAAGTCAAAAAATGTAAATCAACAATTTTGTACATTTCTCAATTTCCTATTTGCAAATATTTAAAAATTTAAAGAAAAAATAATTTTACACAATTTTATTTCTAGTACAGAAATGTCTCAGATGTCTTAGAAGTTTATTATTCTATATTTCATATTTCTGAGCCATTATCCTTTCAAGTTGATTTGTCTTCATTTCTTTTTCATTTTCAAAGTCCTTCTCTGTAAAAATAGAGTTCTCTTGATGTTTCTCTTTAAAAGTGTAAATATTAATAAAAATTTTCAGAAATGTGATAATGAAAAGTATAACTATATGAAGTCACTGACATCCATACTTACGGTTTAACTTAGTAATTTTTTATACCAAAAGAAAAAAAAATGAGGTCCGAAGTACTTTAATCTGCAATGTAGAGTATAACAGAAAACCTACTATATTAAAAAAAACACCTCATTGTGAACTGTGTTACCTGTAATGTGCATCATCATTGGCCTGTGCTTTTGGTATCTGTCAGGTTCTATTTTGCAAGCAACATGCACTGACTCTGACTAACTTCAGCAGAAAAGCAATATTAGCTCATTGAATCTCTGGAAACATTAGAAAATCAAAAATTTTTAAAAAGTGGGCTGAAATCAAGGCAGCCAGGCACCCATAACTATGGCACAACTATGTCCCAGGCATAATTTGGTGAGGATGTTGTCTACAGGAGCAGGACACTGGATGACACTAACCCTGCTGCTGTGTAGCACTTGCTCTAGAGAAAATTGCGACCACCACCACAGGACACTTAGATCATGTGCTTGCGCCCTAGCTTCCAGGGGCAGGGAAAAGAAATGTCTAGACTTTATAGCTTCTCTAGTGGGAAAGAGTTCTGAGACTGTGAAGAATCACATAGTGTAATATTCCACAAACAAAGAGCAGGGTTGCAAGTGCTAATCAACCAAAACCATACCAGAAAATGATCCTTAGTCCATCTTTTGCCTTCCCAACATCCACACACATTATTCTCCCTTTAGTTACTTTTCCAAGAAACATCCCCATGGATAGTTTTATAATGTTCACTCCTAACAAACAAAACACTTACCCCTTCTCTAAAACGACAGAAAAATGTGTTAGTGTCTAGGGATGTGGTTCTTGAAGTGACACCCCCAGACTAACAGCATCAATATCACTTGACAACTTGTTAGAAGTGCAAATCCTCGGGCCGAACCTGGAACTATGGAACTGGAAACTAAGCAATCTGTGTTTAACAAGTCTTCTAGGGGCATTTTGATCAAGCTCAAGTTTGAGAACCACTGGTCTAGAGTGGTTGATCTTGACAGACAAAGAGAAATAGAGGTGCTTTTTCACAGTGGGAGGAGTCAACTCAAAGTCTCAGAGTTACTGCGACCAGCGGCAAGTCTAGCGTTTGTAGCAGATGCCCATCCTTCCTCTAGTTTGCTCGTGATTCCATCTCAACGGTCTCATCCTGTAAACAAAACTGAAAAGCTAACCACCAACCTCATGTCCTGTTTACATTTTATATGCAATAGGAAGAGAGACAGGAAATATAAAACAATTTTTTAAATTAAAATAAAAAATTTTAAAATATATCCATGATACAATAGGATATGAGACAGATGAGATTAGTGTCCTTGCTTTAGCAATTGATCATCTTTCATACTCAAAACTCTTTAAAAGATATTTGACTATTTAAACAAAAATAATACCAGTGTAGTGTGGGATTTATGATATATGTAAAAGTAAAATGTACAGAAACAATAATAAAATATCTGGCCTATATGTGTCCTATAAAAAATGCAC